GATTGATGATGGTTTGTTGATAAGGATTCTTGATGATTGTGGCTAATTTAAGCTTATTCCAGTTGATTTCAAAACGGGGAAAACGACCTCTATTTATACAGAAAAAAGGGAGTCTGACGATCAGAAAAAAGATCAGAATTTCTAAATAAAATAGAACAACTTTTGACGCGACGCGACAGGATTGTCACGCCACGTCATGACTATCGCAGTGCGATGGTCATAACATTGCGCGCTAGTCCTAAAGGATAGTAAAGCCTTGCGAAGTTTGATTTCTAATGGAATGATGTTTGCAGAAGATATCCGAACGTGTTCGTATTCGAATAGAACAAGGATTATTTTATGAGAAGTTTTATTCAGTCTCGAACTTCTTTGATTTTTATCTTTTCTAAATGGATAGATATGAACCTTCTTGAGGATTCTAGAAGTTCCTAACTTATTTAGGATCGGGAATATGATCATATAGGGCCTAAATAAAATATTTGGACTCTATATAATCATTGGGTCGTAGGTAAGGTGGACCTAGGCTTGGTTTGGGCTCGGTTTAGTATTTTGTCCATAACTTATTCCACTACAAAAATTTGGCCTTTTAGCGACAGGTGAAATCCGTTTCTAATTTCTAAAAATCCGTCGCTGGACATAGCTAACTACGTATATAACTACAGAATCACTCCGCTGGTAAAAACCTTGTAGTTAAATGGATTTAGAGACGGAAAAAAAAATGTATCGCTAAATTTGCAACGTAAAAAAAAAAATCTGTCGCTTATATCAGCAACGGGAAATAAAAATTCCGTCGCTCATATCAGCAATGGAAAAAAAAATATCTGTCTCTAAATTTAGCAACGGAAAATAAAATCCGTCTGTAAATTTAGCAACGAAAAAAAAAAATATTTTGTCTCTAAAAGTAGAGTTACTATTCGATTCGACCTGATCCATTTACCACTCCGAAACCTCACTCGGGTCAACCCGACTTGACTTTGCATGTAAGGCTCCTTAAATACCCAAACTCAAGAATCGCAATTGGTAGGAGTCGAATCTGTGACCTCAAAGTCACGTGGAGAAACTCTTACCAACTATACCATATACTATTTGATTATTTCTACGCACATATTTGATATTAAGTAAAAGAAATATTAGGGATGGAATTGATAATCCGTCTGTAATTAGCAACGGAAAAAAAAAATACGTCTCTAATTTAGCAACCGAAAAAAAAAATAAAAATTGTCTCTAGTTTACGTAATTCGTCTCTAAAGTAATATTTTACATAATTCATTTGTAAAATAATTTAGAGACGGAATTAAAAATCTGTCTCTAAATTAGGGATGAAATTATAAATCTGTTGCTCATATCAGCAACGGAATTGAAAATCCGTCGCTCATATTAGCAACGGAAAAAAAATCCGTTTCTAAATTTAGCAACAAAAAAAAAAATCCGTTTCTAAATTTAGCAACAAAAAAAAAATCCGTCTCTAAATTTAGCAACGGAGAAAAATCCGTCCCTAAATTAGAGACGGATTTTCTATTCCGTTTCTAATTTAGAGATAGATATTGAATTCCGTCTCTAATTTAAAGACGATTTTTTTTAATTCCGTTTCTAAATTAAGTTAGAGGCAGATTTTTATAATTCCGTCTCTAATTTAGAAACGGATTGATATCCGTTAATAATATTCCATTTCTATATGGACATTTTTTTGTAGTATTCGTTTTAAGTCGGACTTGGGCTTATGATATATCATTGGAAAGCTCTTTTCAGGCCCCATCCAACTAAACAATAATTGGATTGGGAACATAGAGCAAAATAATCAAGTTTTGACGTTTTTTATAAAATGGACACGAAATGAATGATTTTAAGGAGACGAAATGAATGATTTTGAATTTAAGACACGAAATCAATGATTTGGATTAGAAACATTTTGGGTAAGGTTAGAAAAAGGAATAGGCTTAAGGAAACTTTGCGCGACTTTTCAACTCTTAGTCGAACTCGTCAATCAAAACGTGAAAGTCACTCATCACTAGGTTTGGTGTTTAGGGAGACACAAATAGGTGTCTACATGAATATTTTGAAATTATTTGGCATTATATACTTGATAAAAATCAATTACTAGTAATTATCTTTTACCGTTATTGAAAAGGTTTCTCAGGAATTATTATGCCCTTTGTATTTCAATGTTGTTTCTTTTATAATTTTATAATGTTTTTATACAATTATAAGCTATATTCTTTCTACTTTGATCCGGGTTTACCATGCGCATGGTACACTCGGGTGTACGAACCACCGGTTAGTTACTCAGTTGATCGTCTTTTGTTATCTATACGCAAAGAAAAACATATATATTTGGGATCTTACTTGTTTGAATCGTTACATTAAATTTTATCCTAAAATCCGTTTGTTATAAATTTTAATTATTAGGAGTTAAAGATATTTTTATTAGATTTATACATTGCCAAAATGATAAATGAAACAGTAAAAAAGAACGAAGAATTTTTTAATTTTTATGTTTTAAAGTAAGACTTATATGGTGTGTATGGGCTTTCTTAGAGGTATTAGAAATTTATCCAGACCGATCCGAAAGTAGCCCTTTACAAATTTCAGCTTGTGTGGGTACAATGATTTAGAATGACATAAACTTGCATCAGAGTCAACTCGACCCGACTCAATCACCTGAATTGACAACTCTAACTTTTGTAATCAAAGTTATAGTGACATTACTAAGCCAATCTAAGTTTGACACGCAACATTTTTAAGAATTTTGATGTTGGGAGTGGAAATAAACTGTGATAAAAGTGAAATTGGAAAAAAAAAAAAATCAAAATCGGTGACTTTGAACGAACAAAATAAAGTTGGGTTAAAGTAAGTCCAAAGTTAGGCTCCGTTCTTTTAAGTTGAACCAGATTAATTGAACTGAAAAAATTAAAGAGAAACATAATTGAATGGCTTAACTTTCTCATTAATCATGACACACAATATATAATAGTTACAATCTTCCTAACCTAGAATCAAAAGATATCATAGAATATTAGGAAGTTAACTATAATACAAAAGATAATCTTTGCTAATAAATATCTTCCCAAAATATATTATATGATATATCTCATTACCCCCCCCTCAAGTTGGAGCATGCGGATCCGAAATGCCCAACTTGGAAAGAAGATGATTAAAATGTGACTTTCTGAGAGCTTTGGTTAAAATATCAGCTAGCTGTGCCTTTGTTGAAACATGAGACGGAGATATCAAGCCTTCATTAATTTTATCACGAACAAATTGACAATCAACCTCAATGTGCTTCGTTTGTTCATGAAAAAACGGGTTCTTTGCGATGTGTAAAGCGGACTCACTATCACAAAATAATTTGATTGCCTTTGGATGTTGAACACCCATACTTAATAACAAGGCTTTTAGCCATTTTAGCTCACAAGTGACGCCTGCCATGGACCTGTATTCGGCCTCAGCCAAGGAGAGAGAAACTGTAGGTTGCTTTTTCGTTTTCCATGAAATTGGGGATTTGCCAAGGAACACGAGCCCCCCGATAAAGAATGCCTAGTTAAGGGACATGCAGCCCAATCGGAGTCACACCACTCCTGCAGATTCAAGTCACAAGCAGAGCTCAAAAGAATACCCTGTCCCGGAGTGCCTTTTAAATATCGTACCACTCTTAAAGCAGCATCCCAATGCTCACGACGAGGTGGCTGCATAAATTGAGATAGTATATGAATAGAATAAGCAAGATTAGGGCGTGTGACCGCAAGGTATATCAAGCGCCATACTAGCCTACGATATGACTCAGGATCCGATAGAAGTTCACCACTTTCCGTACTCAATTTGTGGTTTTAATCTATCGGAAATCCACTAGGCTTTGCACCCAACATTCCAGCCTCAGAGATGATATCTAACGTATATTTACGTTGACATAAAAACAATCTGTAGAGCTACGAGTAACTTCGATGCCCAAAAAATATTTTAAAGGACCAAGGTCCTTCATCTTGAAGTAATCACTGAGATAGGCTTTAAAAACAGTAAGAGCACCGGAATCATTCCCAGAAATAATGAGATCATCAACATAAACCAAGACGTTAATCTGAACAATAGTCTTAGTATATGTAAATAATGAATAATCAGAGTAATATTGAAGAAAACCATATTGTTTTAAAGCCATAGTTAGTTTTGCAAACCAACATCTAGGAGCTTGTTCAAACCGTATAAAGACTTGTGCAATCTGCAGACCAAGTTAGGATATGAACTTTCGAACCCGGGAGGAAGTTTCATATAAACCTCATCAGCTAGATCACCATGTAAAAATGCATTATGAACATCCATTTGATGGAGCTCCCAATTTTTAGAAGCTGCAATGGCAAGAAAAGTACGAACTGTTGTCATTTTGGCCACCGGAGCGAATGTCTCATCACAGTCAACCCCTGCTTTCTGATGATTGCCAAACACAAACAAGCGAGATTTGAGGCGCTCTACTTCACCATTCGACAAAAATTTGGTCTTGTAGACCCATTGACTGCCTACAAAAATTTGAGGAGCTCTCTTGCCAGGAGAAAGTCGCTTTAAGGTCCATATCCCATTATCTTCCAGAACCCGAATTTCTTCCTGCATAAACCTGCGCCACCCATCATTTCCACTAGTAGAAAAATGCAAATGAGCAACGGTTCAAAATCGACTTTGGGCACCGGTTTTGAACCGTTGGTCATCCTTCCGTTGGTCATTTGAAGGATGCCAAAAGCTGAATTTATTCCCACCAGTTCAAAACCGGTGGGAATAATTAACATTAGCACTGGTTAACTGGTGCGAATACATGATTATTAGCACCGGTTAACCGGTGCCCTTAGTAGCCCAAAAAATAATTTTTTTTATTTTTTTATTTTCTTTTATTTTTTGCATTTTTTTTACCTTAAACTGTACCTGATACTTATATATAATCATAATATACATAAGACACATATATTTTCATCAATAACTTGTAATATTACACTTTAAAAAACTAAAAAAAAACTACAGAATCAAACTTTTCTTCTATTTTCATAATAGGAGTAAGCAGTAGCAGCACTATAGAAGCATCAACAACATCAAAGATAGGAGGCAATAGCAGCTATGTAAAGCAGCAGTAGCAGCAAAGATAAAGTAGTAATAGCAGCAGAGGGGGTAGCAGTAGAGGCAGCAGCATGGAGAGCTGATCCACTCTCTTATGAAGAGGCAGCCGCGTGGAGAGCTGGAACATAACACTTGGATAAGTAGTAGAAACACAATGATGAATCAAGTAATCTTAATTAAGCTAATGGATGGGACAATAACTATCAAATAAACTAATACTAAGAGACAAGTAAACAATTGGCTCTTGTCCCTGATTTACCCTTAGCCAAGTAAAAAAAAAAAAAAAAAAAAAAACCACGCTAATTCACTTGCTCACTCTTAGTTTCTTAATACAAGTTCACAAAAACCACTACAATAAACACATAGATTACCTCGTATACCAAATGAATTTGCAAGCTGCTATGTCAAAATTTTGTCCTCTGTAAACTAAACAGCCAAACCGGATTGTAGAAATCAGCTCCTGATCACCACACACAAGGAAAACATTGCAATTAGCAAGTGACCAATGTACACACATACTACACAAACAGTGGACCTATCTCCATGAATCATTATATATGTCAAATTTAAAACTTAGACTGACCTAACAGATTTACCAAACCAGAATATTAGTTAAAATTGTAAGTTTGTGGATAAGAACAAGTTGTAAAATTTTGAGGTGCGAGGTACGTAGCAACAGCATCATCCTCAGCAGAGTAGTAGCAGCTGCAGCCTTGCCAGGCCAGTTGCAGCAGCAGCCTCAGTAGTAGCTGCAGCCTTGCCAAGCTAGCTGCCATAGCAGCCTCGGTAGGGCAGTAATAGCTGCACCCTTTCCAGGCCAGCTGCAGCAGCAGCCTCGGTAGGGCAAAAGTAGCTGCAACCTTTCCAGGCCAGAGTCACTAGTCCCTCATTCCTTGTCCCTCCTAACCCTCAAAGAAGAAATGATTCGAAATTGAATGTAGAATTCTATTATATAACCTACAAAGCCAATCACAATAAAAAAAACTTAGAAATTAAAACCATGAAATGTGAAAACTGAATTGTGATTTCCAGAAGACAAAAACAATGAAATTAATGACCTAAAAATTCGAATGATTTGTGTATATACACTCAATGCAAAAAAAAAAAAAGGGGGTATATACATAGATCCCCACATCAATCATGTTATTAAACAAATCCAAGCAGAGCAATATATTTTATACCCCTATGGTATTCACAACCCCTATATATATCTAGTATTTATACCCACATAAATGAATAAATCTCATATCATAAACCACTTCATCCTCTGGTATTCACAACTCCTATATCTAGTATTTATACCCACATAAATGACTCACCAGAGTTAACATCTCAAATAAAATACATGGAAAGTATGCAGAAATATATGGCATATGTGTCACATAAAATAGACAAAACACAGTTACAGAACTCCCTCACTACCCTTGCTCTGCTCCTCACACACAGCAGACCGTAATTTTAATTTAAGACACAAGGTAGCCTCCACACCAAAGCACAATCACACCACACATCACAACAACTCCAATTCACAAGAAAATGAGTTGCAGGCCCCATAACCATATGAAGTTACATCCAAAATTATTAACAAAATCACATTAGATACTACTATACTCACAAAACCATTACAAACAAAATAGGGCACCAATCCGCACAACAAAGCATTCAAACATTTATCATTCAGTCACTTCCATAGCGTAAAATTCAATAATGCATACTAACAAATAATCAATTACATAAACCCTAGAAATTGAATCTAAAGAAGAATCAAAGTAAAATTTATAATTTAAGTACTTATAATTTGAATCAAAGTAAAATTGGCACACTTCAATATAAAATCCTAAAAATTAAACAGAAACAAGAATTAAACATCAAGGATTACCTCATTTCAATTGAGCCTTGATGATTCGTATTAAGGAGTACCTCACCCTTTAATCACAATCCTCTACAAAGTAGCACAAAAATAATTAATAAATCGGCATAAATTGAAATTTAAACATCAAGTTACTGAATATGAAAAGGAAAAGCAGGATTAATTGTGAAATTTCACAAAAATTGGATGAAAAAGGAGATAAATTGCATAAGTTGAATGAAAATTGTTTTAGAAAACCCTAGCTATTAATGGCGTTTCTTGTGGCGCAATGATGGAGAAGGAGATCGAAGGAGAGAGAAAAGGAAAGCTAGAGAACCCATAAACCTGCCGTCACTACAACCTGACGCAACCTACCACGCCAACACCTAACTGCATAAACCTCCAAAACCAGCAGCAATTTTGAACAATATTACATAAATTAAACCCAAAGATTAAGGCATTTAACATGAATAATTGGACCAAAACGCAAAGCTAAAGAACCCAGAAACCCTAACCTCAAATTTCTGATTTTTGAATCGATAATTGATTCAAGTTTGTTGTTATTGTATTTGATTCAAATTGACGGCAGCGGCAATGGTGGTTGTGCTTGGTTCTAACGACGCCAATTTCTGACAAAGGGCAGCGGTGGCCGGTCGATACTTGCATGGTTCGAATTGGCAGCGGCGATGGTGGTTGTGCTTGGTTCCATAAAAGGAAGAAGAACGATGGTGGTTGTTGAGAAGCAGGTGGTTGTGTGATGATAGTTGTTGAGAAGAGGAAGAAGATTGAGAGATGAGCTAAGAGAGGAAAAAGAACTTGAGATGAGAGAGAAAGAGAGAACAAAAAATGACAGAGAAAGAGAGAGAACAAGAGAGGCGGATGAGAGATAGAAAGGGGGTAAAGGGTGTTTTTTTAGTTTGCACTGGTTTGAACCGGTGCCATGAACTTAAGTTCTCACAGGTTTGGTTTGAACCGGTGCGATTTCTCCTACATTAAATCCCACCTTGTTTATTTCGCACCGGTTTTTAATAACCGGTGTGCATTTCTCGGTGCGCATTTGTGTTTCTTTACTAGTGATTTCATAGCTTCTCTAAAAGATTTCGGATCCATGCTTTGAACAACTGCTGTAATAAATTTTCGATAACTCATAAAAAAGTGTCACAATTTATATAATGTGCTAAGGGGTACGGAGTACGTGGAGACTGATTGGAGGAATGAGGCGGACTCTTAGCAACCGTGTGTGTAATAAAGTCACGTAGCAAAATCGAGGGATATTTTTCCCTGAAACCGCGACCCAACTCGGAGGGTGGCTGGTCATCCGTGGGTCAGTGTGCTGCCGAGGTATGAGCTGCTCAGGCTGTTGGTTCTGGACAGTGGCAGCATTATCTAGCTGCTGCTCGGACTGTGTTGGCTGGGCAGTGGCAGCCTCGGCTTGCTGTTGCTCATAATGCTGCTGTTGTTAGCTAAAATCACGGGCTGGAACAGGAGGGTCCCCAGCCCCCCTACGATCAGCAGCATTATGCCGCGGGGTGGTTGCAGAGGAGACTGTTTCCCCCCTTTCCACCGAGTTGTTTGCACCCTCACTACCATGTGCACCGTTATCATCATAACCCAAATCAAAATTAGCAAAATCAACATGTATATCTTCCCCTATATCACTGAAATTGGCGTTAATATTAGCATAATCTGGGCTAACAAAGGGGAACATATCATCAACAAATTTCACATCACGAGAGCCAAAAAATTCTTTTGTTTCAAGATCAAAAAGCTTCCATCCTTTCTTCCCAAAAGGATACCCCACAAATACACATTTACGACTCCTACTAGCAAACTTATCCCCCCTAGTCTTTTGATTGTGAGCAAAACACAAGCAACCAAAGGTGCGAATAGCATCAAATGAGGGTGATTTATTAAAAAGAATATCAAAGAGGTTTTATTTTGTAGTATAGGCGTAGGAGTTTGATTAATCAAATGAGCCGCGGCTAAAGCACGCTCTCCCCAAAATTAAATAGGTAGTTTGTCTTGAAATCTCAAGGCTTTAGCAACATTAAGAATGTGTTTGTGTTTTCTCTCTACCCTCCGTTTTGTTGAGGAGTCCCTACACACGAGGTTTGAAAGAGAATACCAGTTGCAATAAAATAATCACGCAAACAATTAAATTCAGTTCCATTATCACTTTGCACAATTTTAATTGTTTGATTATATTGTCTATCCACCATAGCAACAAACGCTATAAACATCTGAAAAACTTCCGTCTTATTAATCAACAAATAAATCGAAACGGCTCTTGAATAATCATCAACAATAGTAAAAAAATAACGAGCTCCACAAGATGAAACATGTCTATATGGACCCCATAAATTACAATGTATTTTTTCAAAAATTCTAGAAGCTTTATTGTCACTCAAAGGAAATTTGTCTCTAGGATGTTGAGCACGAAAAAACTCTTCACATCCTTTTGCTAAACTACTTTTATTATTGCTAATATGAGGAAGCAACTTAACTACTCTCTCTGAAGGATGCTCCATCCGTCTATGCCAAAGATCCAAATCTAATTTCGCTTCAACCACAGACACACATTGCACCACATCCAGTTTGCTAAGATAATAGAGTCCATGCATCTCGCCTAAGTCCCGTTCCAATCAGCTCCTTTAGTTGGTCCTTATAGCACACATATGTGAGTTAAATTGTACGACAACATTTAACTGATCACTGAGTTGAGAGACGGAAATTAAATTGCAATTCAAATTAGGAACAAAACGAACTCCAGAGATTGTGATTTTAGCAGACAACCAAACACATCCGGCCAAAGTTGCGAGCACATTATCACCATTGGGCAAACCAACGGGACATTCAATATTGTAAGTATCAAATAACCAAGTTTTATTTCCAGTGACATGATGCGTTGCTCCTGTATCGATAATCCAACTAGTGTCATCGAACTTACCACTTAAACGATTTCCGGGAATATTAGAATTACCCATAAAACCTGTAAGGGCCTTACATTTCTCACTGGAAAAAACTTGCCCCGAATTAGAGGCCTGAGAATCTGTCGTGGTAGCATTTGCACGTGCCCCCCCCTCAATTGCGGGGATTCCACCCCTCCGGATATCCTGTAATCTCATAACACTTGCTTGGGTCGTGGCCTTTCTTTTGACAGTGGGGACAAGGAGACTGAAACCAGCAGCTTGAAATATCGTGACCTGGCCTGGTTTCTTACAATGCGAGCAAGTCTTGACACCACACGCACTGTTAGAGGCAGCACGGACAACAAAGCCAAGAGCCTCGGCTGACTGCTTTTCCTCGGGCTCTTGCTTGACTGTATGCACACTTTTGGTCTTGAGTCACAAGCTGGTAAGCCCTATCAAGGCTTGACAAAGGGTCTTGCGATAGTATATTAGTACGCAAGGAAGAACAATAACCACTGTACAAGCCCATTAGAAAATCATGAAGCTTGGTTTGTTCTCGTCTAGCCTCATATAATTGACCCGCAGTGCACTTCGTGCAACAATTACACGAGATTAAGGGCTCATGGTGGTCTAGTTCCTACCATAAGGCATGTAACTTGCCATAATAAATGGACACAAACATCGTTTTAGTTTGCTCGCACTTGGCTAGGGAAATCCGAATCTGCTGCACCCTAGGACCATTAGTTTGAGCGAATCTCTTCTTGAGATGATCCCACACTACTAGAAAACACCTGATTTACGACGGAAAAAATCTGTCGGTACACCTTGAAAATCCGTTGGAAATGGCTATTTCCGACGGAATTCCGTCGAAGCACGTTGTCGGAAACCCATTTGTCGGAAAAACGGCCATTTTCGTCAAAAATTCCGTCGGAAAACACTATTCCGACGGAATTGCGACGGAATTTTTTCATCGAAAACAGTTTTTCAGGTACCGGAAAGTCCGTCGGAGATTTCCGACGGAAATTCCGTCGGAAAGTTTAATAGAAAAAAATAAAAAAAAGCCCCACCCACCTCCCCACCACCACCCCACCCCCTACCCCCACCACCACCCCACGCCCCACGCCCCATAACCCAGATCCCCACCACACCCCCTGCCCCCACCACCACCCCATCCCCCACGCCCCACAACCCAGATCCTCACCCACCAGCCCACCCCACAACCCAGTTCCCCCACCCACCAGCCCATCCACATCCCCATCTACAAAACCCCCACAACCCAGAACCCCACCCACGAAACCCACCCACACCAGCCCACCCACCTCAACCACCTTCCAAAATAAACAAATTCAAAATTCAAAATAAAAAACAAAACCAAAAATAAAAAAAAAAACCAAAAATAGAAAATTTAGAGGAAAAAACAAATTAAACCGACAAATAATTCAAGAAAACGAAAAATCGGAACACAACGAACGAAAAATGGGGGAAAAAACAAAAAACACAATTTCATCAAAACGAAAAAAAAAAACGAAAAAAGTAAGGTAAAAATGCCGAAAAAAAAAGAGAATTTGAGTAAGAGAACTTACATTAGATTCCATCAAAACCCCTAAATTGGCTTGAAATTGGGTTTTAAAGGTCAAATTCGACCATGAAAACCCTAGATCTAGGGTTTTTATGGTCGAATTAAACATGAAAAACCTTAGAATCGGTGGTGGAGGCTTTGTTGAGCAGCGACGACGGTGGTGGTTTTGTTGAGCAACGACGGCGATGGTGGTTTTGTTGAGAAACGGAAGGAGACGGAGGGAGGAGGGAGGAGGAGAGAGACGATAGGAAGGAGGGAGGAGGAGAAATAATCGAGGGGAAGGAGGAGGAGGAGAGAGAAACAAGGGGAAGGAGAAGGAAGATGACGTTGGGCGAGAGGAAGGAGGAGGAAAGAGGAAAGAAAGGAGAAGGAGGAGAGAGAAACGAGAGGAAGGAGGAGGAAAGAGGAAAGAAAGGAGAAGGAGGAGAGAGAAATAAAGAAAATCCGGGGTTTTTTTTTTATATATTAAGAATTTCCGACGGATTAATCCGTCGGAATAAGTGGCTTTTTCGAGGGATTATTCCGTAGGAAAGTTCCGACGGATTTAAATTCCGTAGATAAACCAACTTTCCGACAGAATATTCCGTAGGAAACCTTTTATTCTGAGGGAATTAATTTCCGTCGCAAAAATTCCGATGGAATTTCCGTCGTAAAGAACCTTTTCCAACGGAAATTTCCGACAGACCTCAATTCCGTCGGAAAATTCGGGAATTTCAGATGGAATTTAGTTCCGTCGGAACGGTTCCCTCGGAAATCAGCCTATTTCTAGTAGTGCCAAAAGGGTTCACCTCACGAAATTTAGAAAGTGAGGACTTAACCTCGGCACCGATGGTGTTTGTGATCCAAGAGATAAGCATGGCATTAATAGCCGTCCAATCGGACTCTGTACATGGGGGAGCTGGCTTAGTGATTGTACCGTCCAAGAAGTCGAATTTACGCCTGGCTTCGAGTGCGGTTTGAATATTGGCTGCCCACTCCTCATAATTATCGCCTTTGAGACGAGTGGGTGTGATAAAATCTCCGGGTCTGTCTTGAGGACCTAGAAAATAGGGGGAATTACGTTCGATCTTAGGTGGTGGCGGCGCGGCGGTGTATCATCGCCGGCCATGGTTGTTTTTGGTTGTAAAAAAAAAAAAAAATTAACTTGCTCTTGATACCATGGTAAATTAAAGAGAAATATAATTGAATGACTTAGCTTTCTCATTTATCATGGCACACAGTATACAATAGTTACAATCTTCCAAACCTAGAATCAAAAGATATCCTAGAATATTAGGAAGTTAACTATAATACAAAAGATAATCTTTGCTCATAAATATCTTCCCAAAATATATTATATGATATATCTCACTACGAACTGAAATGACGTGAGCTAAATAAGTTTTAAATCTGTCTTTAATATATACTTTGATTTTATAAGTTTTTCAGATGCATTAATAATCTAACAGTTAAATTTATGCTTTAACCAATCGAGAAAACAAAAATGTTATAAGAAAAATAAAATTCCTTAGACAATTAGATAA